CACTTGCTGGCATTACGCTAAATGAGGCAACACTCGTTACAAGCAGCCAGCTGGCAACTACAGCGTTTTGTCGGCTTGTACCCCGCCCTTGGCAAGTCCCGTGCTCTTCTAAGAGGTTGCGTGGAACACACCAGTTTTTTGCTAGATGTTCGACTCCAACGGTCCTAGCTCTGGCGAGTGTTAGCGCCCGGCTGGTCTATGCAGATGCCTGTTCACTGCTCCTAATGGCGCCCGGAGAGTCAAAAGTTTTGCCACACGGCTACATCGCGGAACCTGAAACACCCATTATTCACAGCGACACCTGGGCGGACAACGTGTTCCAACCATGGGACCCTCCTCTCTTCGTCCCCCCCCCCTCCCCCGCCCTCACTCCCCGCGGGGGACCTTGCACCTATCCGGAAGACCGTTTAACTCGAGCCCAAGTGGCCATATATCTGTCAAATACGTTTTCATAGGCAGGGAACTCGCGCCAGCAATCACCGGCTACTTTCGGCGGGAAAATTGGAATTTCGAAACGATTCCTCTGGTAGTCGTCGTGAACCGGAGGCCAACCGCACGTTGGGACGTTGTCGGTGTTGCCCGGGGGGAGGGGGGTTGCAACCAGTCCCTCTACCACAACTCGTTCATTGGTTTCGAATGCTGATGCATGTGTCGGGGAGATATTTGGTTTACTTCTGGAGTGTCACAGAGAGCAAGTACAGAGGACGCTGGATCCGCCAATGTGCAGTACTGGTCAAGAGAACTTGTAAATTTCTCAGATGTACATTTGGAGAAGCAGCTAAATTAGTGATTTACTGGTGGATGAGGCAGTAAAATCGAAAGATGGAATAATTGGCCAACGCACGGGCTGTCCGTGCGAAGATGCGTTTTCTGCATAGTTTCCCGCAGTTTTTGTCGCTACCAGCATCGGTTTTTTCGATAAATGCTTCTAGCTGAACAAATTAAGACTGACCGCCAGAACTAGTAGGGAAAAGCCTCTTAAAATTTCAGCTTTCTAGTTTTCCTGGCTCCTGAGTTATCACCTACTTGGACGGGGAACATCCCCCTAGGATTTCAGCGCTCTAGCTTCTCAGATCCCCGAGTTATGAACTCACCCGAAAAAAATTTGGCGAACCCGTTCGCGGGTGCGACGCCTACCCGGGGAATGAGTTTGAGCGCATTAACACCCAGTTAGACGGGGAATATCCCCCTAAGACTTCAGCGTTCTAGCTTCTCAGATCCCTGAGCTAAGAACTTACCCGAAAAAAGTTTTGGCGGGCCCATACGCAGGTACCGCACGGGTGATGACGCCAATTTTGGGGATTGGAGCCAGCAGGTGCATGTAGATTAAGTTCCCAAAATTTCAGCTCTGCAGTTTTTATAGATGAAAGTGCGTGACAGACGCACACACAGACACACAGACACACGGACACACAGACAACTCCTCGTCAATATGCGTTTTTGCATTGCATAGCTGCAAAAAACGCATAAAAAGTAGGGCAATTCGGAAACCTAGATCCAACCATTACTTGGGTTTTCAAGATTTGCTTACATAGCGTTTCTCTATGCCAAAAAACAAGCACAGCGATGATTTCAGCGCAGTTTTTTTTTTTTGCACTTCCAATGTTAATCGTAGACCGAATATGTCGATTTTTGTGCAAATTTTTGCTCATTACAGGATGGACCTCACAAAACCGGGTGAAGATTCGGAGACATACTTCAGGAGCAGGTTAGTTAGTCAGAACTTCCAGCTAAATGATAAGTACTGTCGGCCCTGTGGCCTAATGGATAAGGCGTCTGACTTCTAATCAGAAGATTGCAGGTTCGACCCCTGCCAGGGTCGCTCGATGCACCACGTTTTGACCGGAGCGGGTACCGGAAAAAGAGTGCTGGAGGACTGTGATAATAATGCCGCCGTTTTTGTCGAATTTTTCTAGTTGTTTTCTTTTCTCAGATATCGACACATTATCGGCGTTACGGTGCAACTGTTCAAGCTACAGGGAGTTGTTTGGAGCGAACTGAGTCGGGACTATGTCATGCTGCATATGTATTTCGATATGCACGATATGCAGACGAAATTGACAGCTGTCGATGGCATTAAGTTTAGTAGTTTTTTTCTCGATTTATTGCGTATCGCCTTGGATTATGCGATTGTTCGGCACCCGTTTCTACAGTTTTTTGTTTGTTTGATTTTTACTCCGATCAATTTTTTAATATTTTCCGAGCATTGTACTGAACCCCTCCAATTCAACATCCACCTGCCGGCTGAGTTGTTTCGGAAGCTAGAATTGATTGTTGTCAAAATTGGTGATAATGATGATGAGCTAGGAATTGGTGATGATGACGAGCTACGTTAGTTTCTAGCTTATAGTTTACCTCTTATTGCATTTAACACTTCACATCACGCTGCATGCGTTCTGCTATGGCCTGATTTGACTAGGACAGAATTCGAAAAGCCTCTTTAAGCTGAAATCTGAAGGCTTGCTGGAAGTTCAGGAATGAAAAACTCATAAATTAGTCCGAAATCTGAAAACTCATGTCAGGTTATTCATCTTGCGTTGTAAGATCGGTAGAGCCAGTGCGAGAAGTCTTACATCCACTCAGAACAGATGGCGCAGATATGTCGTATAGGTGGTTAGTGCTAATTGGAACCGTTCAGCTTGTCATAATTGAGCCTAGTATGTAGGAGCATTCCAATAATATCGCTAATATAGAATCCTAGTTTCCCCCACTCCCGCAATTTTTGTCCTTATCGCAACTAACAAATAGCGATGACACTCACAGTTACCCTATTTCCTGAAATAAGCTGCAAAAAAAGGAAAAAATGAAATGCAGTGTTTTTTAGGTGATTCTTAAAGAATATGTGATCACGCCGGATCTTCAGCTGAAACGACCAACCAAAAAATTTGTGCATTTTGTGAGGACCGCTGATCCCAGATTCGAAATGTGTGGTTTTGGTTTCCACAGTGTCAGTGACCTTACTGACGTGCGTCTTTTCATTTTCAGCCTCTCACCTCCTTTTTTCATTTCGTCGTCCTCGTTCTGACCACCCATCACCAACTTGAACAAGTGAAAACTACTGCTTTTTAGGCGTTTTTGCTGTGCAGCCAGCAAAAACACATATTGTCGAGAGGCTGTCTGTATGTGTGTGTTCGAAAGCGAATGCATTTTGTCACCCATTTTCATTGCAGCAACCAGGAAAGCTGGGAGGCTGAAACTTCGGATATACTTTCCTAACCCGTGTTTCATCCTCGCGTTTTAAGATCTTTCCTCATAGCGCCTAGTTCCCACGTACGGCCCCCCAAAGAAATGTGTTGGCGGGAAACGATTTTGTGAACCAGGCAAGGTAGAAAGCTGAAACTTTACAGGGGTATTCTCAATGCACGTGCGAGCTAAAGATTTTAAACCCAGCTGTCGAGTATCCCAACCACAGCCTCAAGCAGTTCCTCAACCCAAAAATCGTTAATCCATCGCAACTCGGCCCCGAACCGCAATCATATATATAAGTGAATATTAGTTAATTTATATACGTAGTTTTTTTGATAAACGGCGCTCGAGCAATACTTCCACTTTTTAATGAACTGAAAATTTGCATTTTTTCAAAAAATTTGCATTTTTCATATTTTCACAAAGCGAACGTTTGCCGGAAAAACGACCGGACTTCATGCAAAAAACCGGTGATCAAGCACCTGAATGTCCGTGCGGCTCTATTTTGCACCACCTTCATCCCAACCCGCCCTTCCTCCTGCATGTCGGAAGGGGCCAAAGCAAGGCCAATATGAGCCGAAGTGTTAGGCTACAGCGTAGGGATCATTCCTGCTAGTAGCGATCTGTGAGTTAGCGATGGTTCTTTCTTTCATCACGTTGATTATGGGACTTAACAGTAACTTCTTCAAACAGATCCTTTGTGTTTGCCTTCTAAAGGCTTTCGGGAATATGAATGTACAACAACACGTTTGTAATAAAACAACAAACGTTTTTTTCAGTAAAGCCAGAGATCCCCCTGTTCCTCTTTTCCGGGTGAATTTGCCAGCAAAAGAAATACGGTACAGCCGCCAAATGGAAGTACAATGAACCGATTGTGCTGTGTGGTGCCAACCATTTCCCACACACCCACACGCAGCCGTCGTGCACACAAACTGCAGCTGGTGCGCACACCACACACATCTCCATTCAAACCACGCGTAGTTCCCTATGCACGTACGGCACCCTGTACCGCACACAGACGCCGCACACCACTGCACCCCTCCCCCACCCCACCCTTCCACACTGATCGTAGCCGTACGTGGTTGTAAACAACACTAGACAGTTGCGGTCGTCGACAGACTGCCAGCGATGCGAATAACACGGCTAACGTGATACGGCCTTATTTCTTACGCACAACCACACTCAGTAGTTGCCTTATTTCTTACGCGCGACCACCG